ATAACAGACAATCCTCCATTCACAATTAACCATGCAAAAAGCTTTGCCAAATTAACAATCCTCCTTAGTGAAATTTTTTCAGATTGGTCTTCTGATGGCATGCTCTTCATCATTATTCCACCCACATCACTTTCACCACATTCTCTGAGAAAGTCCCACAGACAGTATTTAAAAGTTACTTTAAAACTGTGGTCATAATCGCAGAGACGTTGTGCAATTAGAGAGTAATATGGATTATAAATGTTTTCCTGCGAAGAAACGTATTTTATCAGTATTATTGGTTTAATAAATTTATGAATTTTACTAAAACGCATCTATGGTATTTTACACCTATCTCAAAAGCTGGCTAATTAAAAACCCTTTCCAAACCCTAACCCTAACCCTAAATACTAACATGAAAATTTTGTGTTGAAATTTTTATAAAATAATAAAACGTATGATAGCGCAAAACCACCATAGCTGCGTTTTATAATAAATGTAAATTGATATATATATATTTATAAATACATTGCCGCAGCAGTGGAGCAAGACTCGAGGAATCTCCCGCGCTTGGACTTCCTTTAAACCAAGTTTCAACAGTCTCTCAAATGCATCAATATAATCCTAAGTATTTAAAATTAGATTATATTATGAAGGAATGATCGGATGAATCATGCACCATTTACCTCACTACTCATTAAAACTATAAAAATGCTTCTTCGAACATCAGTATTCATTTTTTGTTGTTTAGCTAAATTTAAAAGAACCTCAGAAACAGAGCTATTTTCCGGATGTCGGGTAAATAATGTGGATTGGTTATCAATCGTATTTGCAGTCCATGACGAACCAAGCCACCATTTGCCTTTAAAGTAAAAAATATTAAATAATAGTTATGCAAGAAAAGCAAAACCATTAGCATACCTTTAGTATCAATTGATCGAATATCTTCAAGACTAACTCTCAAAGCTTCAGTTGCTTGAACTTTGGACCAAAATAAGAGATTAAGATATTGGATAACAAAACCAAGCAATTTACGAACAGTTTATATATACCGTGAATCCTCTTTCCTAAATTTGTGAGGAATTTCTTCATTCTTAATAAGCATTCTGTATTCGTAGCTAAAGATTGCTGTTTTAGGCGATTATTTTTTAAATTCATAATTGTTTCAATCATGAATTTCGTACGAGACCTGTTTACAAAGGAGTGTTGGTTCCAATTTAAAATATGCATAATTAACGATAATTAACCCTTACCCGAAACTCTTTGGATCTTTCTTATTTATTTCGATCTGAACTTGTTGAATGATTTCCCTCAAAGAGGAAGGATCGTCTTGTTTAAGTTGATAACCTGAATCTTTTTATACAGTTAATGTAAATGTTGATATTACACCCATTGAATCCAATAACAACTTACTTCTAACAATTTTCAGCAATAATTCCACATTCAAATCAGTCAAATCCATGATAAATACCCGAATTATATCGTATATCAATACGCATGAAACAACTCGAAAGTTATAGAGTTCGGATATGAGAACAATTA